GAATCTTCATACCCTCGCTCATCTACGCCAGCCCTGGGCAGAGGAAATCTCCATCCACTCAATTTTATTGAAGAAAAATCTCCTGACTCTCCTGCTATTGCGCAATCCGGCGCTGGTCCAAACGGGCAGACCTTGAAAATCCCGCGCGGTCTCGAGTGGGTAAAGCTGACAACGCGTGCTGCTCCCATTGCCTCCATCATTTTACCATATTCACAAGATCAACTCCGCCTTCTTTTCTTTTTTCGCGCGACGAGCCTTCTGTCGGCCACCCAAAATTTCACGATATACCTACTGCGGAGAAGTATGATTGACAGCCATAACCTATTACCTAGCAGATTTTAGATTCCGAGCAATGAGCAAGAGTTCTGAAGCTTTCTGAAAATCGGCCCAGGGCTTTCTTACCATACCAAGTGTTTCCCGTAGGGTCAGCCTTTCATTTGAAGCATTGCCAGCCTTTTTCTTGGCTTTGCACGGTATATATGTATTAGGTTGTCTCATAAGTAGTGGCGCATTTTTTCAAACGGAAATTTTTCTTGTGAACCTCTAATGTTTTACAATGTTTCATATACCATTCGATAGGAAATTATCTGCTCTACAAGAAGGTATGTACCCTTTTTTGATTGTTGCAAATTGTTTGAGTTTTAGGCATGCAAAGTGGGAGCCGGACGACGAATTTTCGCCAAACCGACAGCTGACCTAAACTTTATACTTCCCTAGAAGAAAATCAGATGCAAGATAAATGTGATATAAACTGTAGCTCAGTAAGTCGTAGAAAACTTCCACATTTGAGTCCTAAAAGGCTTGCTCGAGAATTTTGAATTAGGTCTAGTGCCACTGGCGGTGTGGTGCCTCCGTCCTTTTGTTGCACTCGATCCTTGGTTGAAGTGAACAGCAGAAGTGCCGAAAGTGTTCCTTTTCGTCGACTTGACATACCACCATTTTCTATGCTGAAACTCGATCAGGATTGAGATCAAAACCAAATTCTGCATGCGGTAAGTAGAGCAGAAGAAACGCTTCCTAGAGGTGTATAAAGTAGCGTCAATACTGAGGAATTGGAATGGAAAATATCAGTCTGAAGGAAGCCCTATGGGTTGACAGGCAACCACCGAGTTGCACTGGAATAACTAAATCTCAAAATTAAACGAGACAAGCTTTTAGGGAACCTAAATGTGGAATGTTTAGTAGAGGTTATGAGTAAGTTATAGTTACATTATTGATTGATTTCTTCTAGGGAAGTATAAAGTTTAGGTCAGCTGTCGGTTTGGCGAAAATTCGTCGTCTGAAGCTCCCACTTTGCATGCCTAAAACTCAAACAATTTGCAACAATTTGCAATTTGCAACATTGTAGAAAATTAGATTCACAAGAAAAATTTCCGTTTGAAAAAATGCGCCACTACTTATGAGACAACTTAATAATAAGTGCTGGGGAAGGGGGTCGTATCGAGACTGTTCAAGCGGGGTTATTTAAAAATTTTGAAATCAGTTAATCGCGACGGTTGACCCTGACGGGGCACCCTTTCATGAACGGAAGGTCTTCTGCTAGAATCCCGATTTTTTACTTCAATTCATGATCTGTTTAGAAGAGAATGTCTGCTCTACAAAATGGTATGTTTGATTTTGAGTCTGCTAATCTGGAGATCCAGTCCACGAACATCAGGCAGACCGACAATCAGCTCTAATTCGATTTTCCTGTAGGAGCTCCTAGGAGACAACGTCCAATAATGTACGTCCTACTCAGTCCGTCGTCTTTTAGACGCTTAGCTACTGAAATACCTGTCCGTTATTCCTTCTTCGAATTTGATTTTTCTGCCAGAATTTGAAGGTTAAGCACTGTTGTGTTAAATCTATACCTTAAAGGAGGAATTCACGATTAGAATGAAGGTCGAAGAAAGGGAAACTGACCTAGTTGAGGGACCCACGGACCTCCTGAGGGTGCGAACTGACGCGCAATTCGCATGGAAAAATTTGACCTCGGCGACCTATCATGCCTCAAAGCTGGCGGGTCCGGCGATCTCCGCCCACCGATCATCTGATCACTCGCCGTAGTTCAATACGTGGCGAGTGATTAGATAGCTGAGAGAGCGTAGTGTTGAAAAGGGTAC